AATATAATAAATGTTTTTAAATTCCTGGATTTTGTAATGCTGTAGATGAATTAAAGCGGTCATTTCTTCATTCAGTCTTAAGTATTGCAATGTGGTTTTGTTCAGGAAGTCTTTTATTCTTTCCAAAGTTGAGAGTAGGGGAAGGGCTACATTCTCACAATTGAGAGCTGAATATATCACCCTAAGGATTGTCACAGAATAACCTCATGCCATTGTTATGGACATAATTAATATTATACTGCATATCATGACATTTGATGCCATATTATATTACAAAAGTCTGCATGCCGTGACACAACTGTCTTGGGCTTTTGGCATTGAACACCTTTATTTTCCAGATCTGACTTTCACATTTTATCACAGGTAAGGGTGACATTAGTTCACAGGTTGGTTGGCCCATCAAAGTAGAAAGATGTATGTGTGGGCTTTTCTTTAAAAACAGGCTTCTTCCAGGGTTTCTGAGCCTCATTCACCTCCTCCAGGAAAGTAAATCAGGAGCAAGGTCAACTGAGGCTGGAAGTGTGTACACAGATCTTGTTATTTAAGCATTCCAAGAATGCAGTGTCCTGTGCTTCAAAGTTGCATAATAAAGATGTTTGGCACTGAGGTGTTTGACTTGACTTTGTAATGTGGCCTCTCAGGGTCAGGCTATTTTTCTGAGAGTCCACAGGTCCGGTTCATTGTGCCAGGTCACAGGAAGGGACATGGAAGGCCAAGGGAGGATAGGGTGGAGGATAGGGGAGAACAGGCTGGAGACCAGAGGCCTGAGATATTTAGAGGGCAAACTCTCCATCCTCCTTCAGACCCTCAGCCCCGCCTACACATTTGAACCACCTGGGAGCTTTTGAGAAATACCGATGAGGCCTCCTCCCCACAGACCAACGGAATTGGAATCTCTGAGATTTGGACCTAGGCAGTAGTATAAAAATACTACTCTCCAAAAGAGAAAAGCTCTCCAAAATATTTTAATGAGCACATTGCGGCTTCTAGGAGTTCACATGTAGTTTAGGAAGGAAGTGGGGCTGGATATCCACTGGAATCAGTTGGACTCACAGCATCTCATATTCCCTGGGAGGCTGGGAAGAGCAGGGACTATCTTCCACCCAGATCCCATTGTTTTTCCACCTCTCATGTGTGTAATTTGCTCCTACTGCTGAGTGAATACAAGAGGAACGTGATACTGGTGTGTGGATCTGAGAGGAGATAAAAATCATTTATTTAAACAAAAACACACAGTTCCACAGGCAGGTTGGGGCAGAGCTGGTTATTTTTATTCGGCACATTAGAGTGTACAGCATCATTTCATGTACGTTTGCTCCTCAGAGCCTTCAAGCAATCCTGTGGGGCAGGCATTATGGTCATTTGACAGATGAGGAAACTGAGGGCCAGGATGGCACAGCTGTTATGTGGCCAACTGGAACCACAGCCTGTCTGGCTCCCCGTTCCAGGGCTCACTCTGCTTCCAAGCAGCAGCTTTAAAAGGCCGTCATTGATTTTCATTTTTTCTGCTTTGACTTATTATCATTATTATTTGAGACAGAGTCTTGTTCTGTTGCCCAGGCTGAAGCGTAGTGGCATGATCTTGGCTCACTGCAACCTCTGCCTCCTGGGTTCACGTGATTCTCCTGCCTCAGTCTCCTGAGTAGCTAGGATTACAGGCACCTGCCACCATGCCTGGCTAATTTTTGTATTTTTGGTAGAGATGCGGTTTCACCATATTGGCCAGGCTGGTCTTGAACTCCTGACCTCAGGTGATCCGCCCTCCTTGGCCTCCCAAGGTGCTAGGATTATAGGCATGAGCTACCGTGCCCAGCCTCTGCTTTGACTTATGAGACAAAACCCTCATTCTGTTGATTTGTTCATAGACATTTGAACACTTGAGGCAGGGGGAGTAACTAGTAAAACTGATCGGGGAAGTTGTGGGCTACAGGAGCGAGAAAAAACCACCACATGGCCCACTTTCTTATTCTGTCATTTACAGATAGATTGTGTTCAAGCCATCTACAAATTCCTTGTGTTTATCTATTATAGCAATAGGTAATATTTGGAGAACATATGCTATAAAGCTGAGGTTTATGAAAAGGAATTCATTTAATCCTCCCAGCAAGCATACAGTGTAGCTACTATTATTGATCTTTTTTTTTTTTTTTTTTTGAGACAGAGTTTTGCTCTCGTTGCCCAGGCTGGAGTGCAATGGCGCAATCTCGGCTCACTGCAATGTCTGCCTCCCGGGTCCAAGCGATTCTCCTGCCTCAGCCTCCCAAGTAGCTGGGATTACAAACATGTGCCACCAGGCCTGGCTAATTGTTTTGTATTTTTAGTAGAGACAGGGTTTTCCACGTTGGTCAGGCTGGTCTCGAACTCTTGAGCTCTGGCGATCCACCCGCCTTGGCCTCCCAAAGTGCTGGGATTTCAGGCATGAGCCACCGTGCCTGGCCTATTGATCCCGTTTTTATGGGTGGGGAAACTGAGATCCAGAGAGCTTAGGCAACTTGCCCAAAGTTTCACACTGGTAGGTAGTAAAGCCTAGATTTGAATCCAAACCGTTTGGGGCAAGAGCTTCCGCGCTTCTTCATTATGTAATACTGCGCTGACCCCTGGAGCTTAAGGCCTGCTCATCAGAGGCCCCAGTAGGACTCTGGGCTTCTACCATTTCTACCTGTTTCCTTAGTCATAATAATCATTTATATTTATTGTGCTTTTATCATACATTAGACATTGTTCCAAAGGCTTTAATTATGTCGCTTAATTTGTTAACGCTCAAGAATGAGCCCGAGAGGTAGCGCCTCATAGGAAGGGTGTGTCCCAGCTCATGGCCATTCTTACCAGCCCCTATCTTGTAGCAGGTCCCCCTGTGCCCCTTCCAAAGCCGTGAAAGACTCTGTCAGGCTCTTGGTGACTGGGAAAGAGAAGTTCCTCTATGCCCTCTGTGGCCATGGTTAGAACTCTGCTCAGCTCTTCCTGCAGGTCTTGGTGGTGGCATCCCAGTTACCTTCTTTTGAGTCAGTCTTGCCTTCTGCCTCAGCCTTCTCCCGCTATCCAGGTCAATGGAACACATCCACTCAGATCTTCCAACGACATCTTGATTTGTCTATACAGTCAGGCCAAGTCGGAGGTAGCGGGATTTTATTCTGGGCTGAAGCCAGGGGATCCTTGCTGACTAACCATCCAACGAGCCACGCCATCATGCAAGGACCCACTGTTAGGTGCTGCTGGAAGCCAAGCTGGGGAGCCAAGTAGAGCTTTTTTCAGGTGGTTCTGGAGGATTCACCTGGCGACCGTGCCTTCTTCCCTTTCTAGGACTGTTCTGGCGAGAGGGTTTCCCTTGTCATTTCCCTCGTGCACAGCTCTGCTCCCTAACTCTGCTCCTGGCTGGATCCTTCTCAGCTTTCAGGGCTCAGGGCAGCCCTCAGACCTCATTGAAGCCTTCGCTAGTCACCTTCTCCTTTTCAGCCTCCAGTGACTCTTAAATCACCAGTATTTCCTTTTCACACTCTCCAATCATTGTCTTTATTTATTTATTTATTTGAGACAGAGTTTCACTCTTGTTGTCCAGGCTTGAGTACAGTGGTGCTATCTCAGCTCACTGCAACTTCCGCCTCCCTGGTTCAAGGGATTTTCCTGCCTCAGCCTCCCGAGTAGCTGGGATTATAGGCATCCACCACCATGCCCAGCTAATTTTTTTATTTTTAGTGGAGATGAGGTTTTGCCGTGTTTCAGGCTAGTCTTGAACTCCTGAACTCAGGTGATCCACCCACCTCGGCCTCCCAAAGTACTGGGATTACAGGCGTGAGCCACCATGCCCAGCCTTGTCTTTATTTTTTACTTACTGCCTATATTGCCCATGCAATTCTAAGTTCCAAGAGGACATGCGTTTTCTTCTTCACTCACTGTTCTGTGTACCTAGCTCCCCGCACTGTGCCTGGCCCTTAATGGGTGCTCAGTAAATACACATTGAATGAAATAGTTGAAAAAGTCTCTGTCATTGAAGGTGATGGTATTGACACTACGGCCAGTAGCTCATTTTCAACCTCACAGCCCTGCCAATACCCCTTTCTAGTTCATGTCTCCCACATCTCCTAAATAAATCTGTACCTTGTTCAGGGATTCGTCATTGTTATTTGCACTGGCTAAAGGCCCCTAGGCCTGTCTGCTCCTCCTCATTTTCCATGGTGTTGAATGAAGTTGTCCTTGTCCCTATGAACATTCTGTTTTTTTTTTTTTTTTGAGACAGAGTCTTGCTCTGTCACCCAGGCTGGAGTGCAGTGGCACAATCTTGGCTCACTGCAACCTCTGTCTCCCGGGTTCAAGCGATTCTCCTGTCTCAACCTCCCAAGTAGCTGGGATTACAGGTGTGGGCCACCATGCCCGGCTAATTTTTTGTATTTTTAGTAGAGACAGCGTTTCACCATGTTGGCCAGGCTGGTCTCTAACTCCTGACCTCAGTTGATGGCCACCTGCCTCGGCCTCCCCAAGTGCTGGGATTACAAGCGTGAGCCACCGCGCCCAGCTATGAACATGTTCTTAGTGAATAAAATCAGAAAGGCATTTGGGCTCTCGGTGCAGAAGGGAAAGTGTCGCTGAGAATGGATTCTTTGTTGTGCCTCTTTTAGGAATATGCATGTTAAATGGAAGAGTCCTGAAGAGTCCCTTTTTTAGTTTAAACAGCTAAAAAAATATAACCATGCCCTAGGCAGTATGCTAGGTGTCTGGCAGCACAAGCCAAGCATCTACATTTAAGGGACTTTCTGTCTGTTGGTGGGAAAAGACTTGACTGCATGACAAGAAGACACTAGCATACGAGGCACAGTCTCATTCACAGAACCAAAGATGATCAGTACTCTGCTTATAGCGGCGAATGGTTACTGAGGTCTGGGGAGGTTTCATGGGATTTAGTCACAGCCCTGTAACACAGAGAGGATTTGGGTAAGTTTACTTGTGTGTGTTCTGTAGCCTTAGTGAATGTTCTGTGTGGTCACTGGTTTTATTGTTTCCTCTAGATACAGCCAGAAGATGCCCCAGTAGTTCTCTGGCTACAGGGTGGGCCAGGAGGTTCATCCATGTTTGGACTCTTTGTGGAACATGGGCCTTATGTTGTCACAAGTAACATGACCTGTAAGTATCCCTTGCACTATATTTCTATAGAATCTTTCATCTGAGCCTCATATCTGCTCCAAAACTAATTTAGAGTAAACACGGAACCACTAGGACTAGCTTAACTGTTCCAGATTACCAAAACACAACTTTCTGGCAATGTCCATCCGAGAAGGAGGAGCCTCAGGGCTGTGTCCTGACTGGGCTGCTGTCTCCCTTGAAATTTGGATGAAAAGTTCTAATCTGCTTTCTTGCAGTCTGCTGCTGACTCAAGCATTCTGGGTTTGCAGAACAGTTGGTATTTATTACAATTTGGGACAGCTCTGTGCAGGGGACTAATGGGTGGAATTATATTCCTAATTACTCACATGAACTACACACTTCATGGTTCAGTCACACTCATGATCTGATAACTTGGAAGCAAGACGCTATTCCAGGTGGGGGCTGAGGTGGAGGAAGGATAAAGAGCAACATCTGGCTGTCACCAAGTTTACCTTCATCTCATTTTTATTTTTTTAAATTTTGTTTTCTTTCCCCTGGGTTAGAATTTGGAGTGTGAGCCAGTTTGTGACTCAGTATAAAGGCTTATGTGCCAGTTTTGTTGAAGTAGTTCTCTTCAAGAGATGGAGCCTTAAGGAGGATTGATTTAATTGGACATACGGATATTATTGCAGAGGTGGTTGGTGGGTGTTTTTTCATGTTCCAAGGTTTCGTTGGGTTTTGTTTCCAAGCTTTATCTCAGGTGTGGAAACGCTCTGGGCTGGGGGGAACGTGAAGGAGAGGAGTGGAGAGGGTAAAGGTGCAGGTGCCTGTTCCCCACCATGACAGTATGAAGCGCTGTTAGAGGGGACACCAACAGCTCACGAGGACCGGGGAGTGTGTTGGGCTTCTGACCGCTATGAGGCCTCGGTGGAATGCTTGTCCACTCTCTCTCGCCCCTCTTCTCTGTTTTCACAGTGCGTGACAGAGACTTCCCCTGGACCACAACGCTCTCCATGCTTTACATTGACAATCCAGTAAGTCTGGGATGATCCTGTGAGCTGTCAGTGCTGGCCTCTCCTGTCTTTTCCTTTTTCCTTTTTATTAAGTACATTTAAAAAAATAGATTTAGTTTTTCCTTTTCAAAATAGAATTTAATCTGTGAAATTAAAACCATTTTGAGATTTAGTTATTCTGTTAACATATATAATCATATCAGAGTTTGGCAGTTTTCCTTGCTGCGTTCTCTCATGTCATTTTTTTTTCTATTGAGAGGGAGCCTTGCTGTGTCGTCCAGGCTGGTGGCTCACTGCAACCTCCGCCTCCGCAGTTCAACCCGATTCTCCTGCCTCAGCCTCCCAAGTAGCTGGCGCCTGCCACCACACCTGGCTGATTTTTGTATTTTTAGTAGAGATGGGAGTGGGGGGTGGGGGTGTTCACATGTTAGACAGGCTGGTCTTAAACTCCTGACCTCAGGTGATCCACCCGCCTTGGCCTCCCAAAGTGATGGGATTACAGGCTTGAGCCACCGCGCCTGGCCCGTTTCCTTATTTTTAATCCTATGAAATGTCCTGTCCACTGAATTAGATAACCCAGGAGGAGGAATTTGTTTCTTTTCACTGACAGTATGGGTTCCCTATATAACGGGTTATTACATAGTGTCAGAACTTCTAATCTTTCACAATCTTCTAATCTTTCACATAGAGTTATAGATACACAAAGTCAAAATGGGTCTCCTTCACTTTTTTTTTTAAATTTTTATTTTTTTGAGATGGAATCTTGCTCTGTCACCCAGACTGGAGACCTCCACTTCCCAGGTCGAAGCAATTCTCCTGCCTCAGCCTCCCGAGTAGCTGGGATTACAGACTTGCGCCACCACGCCTGGCTAACTTTTGTATTTTTAGTGGAGATGGGATTTCACCATGTTGACCAGGCTGGTCTTGAACTCCTGACCTCAAGTGATCCACCCACCTCAGGCTCCCAAAGTGCTGGGATTACAGGTGTGAGCTACCGCTCCTGGCCTCCTTCACTTATTAAGACAAGCAGAATGCTTCATCTCTGGACAAAAGTGATACTCTCCTTGGGGAGGTCTTCTGATTTGGTTCTATTAAGGTGCAAAATAGGAGAGAAACTTAGCATCAGCTTCTACAGATTTGGAGTATCTTTGTGTCCTTAACTAAAATCTTTAACTTCTTTCACTTTTCAGATGGTCCAAAGAGAACACAAATAAAAGGGGAAAAAATGTCAACATGCTCGTTCCCCCACCTTGTTTTGTCAGCCTTCCATTTTCCTTGTCCACAACTGTGTATTTAAATAAAAGATGAATTAAACATCCTTGGGTGTTTGGAAAACAAAAACAAAAATACAAAAATCTTTATACCAGATAGGGAGTGCATTCCTTATGCAAATTGTTGACATAAAAATAGTAGCTGCTTCTTTTAATTTACAGTTCAGTTGTCTGTGAACTTCCAGGTATAAGAAAATATTAGTTTAAAATTAGTCTTAATTATGTTAAAACTCCTTACCTACTGAAGATGAAATGGCTTAATGGCCATATTTCTTGAAAATAAAGAAAAGAAGGGGCAGGAGGAGGAGGAAGAAGAAGAAGAAGACAACGTATAACTACCTTTTTCTCCAGCCTAGAGAGTTTCTTTTTTTCTTTTTCTTTTTTTTTTTTTTTTTTTTTTTTTTTGGAGACAGAGTCTCGCTCAGTCACCCAGGCTGGAATGCAGTGGCATGATCTCAGCTCACTGCAATCTCTGCCTCCCAGGCTCAGGTGATTCTTATGCCTCAGCCTCCCCAGTAGCTGGGATTACAGGCACCTGCCCTCATGCCTGGCTAATTTTTGTATTTTTCATAGAAATCGGGTTTCACCATGTTGGCCAGGCTGGTCTTGAACTCCTGACCTCAGATGATCTGCCCGCCTCAACCTCCCAAAGTGCTGGGATTACAGAAGTGAGCCACCACACCGACTAAGAGTTTCTTCTTGGCAGGACAGAGCAAAGTACTCTCCGGGGAGAGGAGACAACTTTGGATCTTTTGATACTGTAGCAGGGGATGGAAAAGATTAATTCTTCTTCCTTAAATCAACATCTGGCAGAGTCTCCACTGAGGACCAGGGCAGCTCAGCCCCTGACCCCAGGGCAAAGCTCTGTGTTGCTGTTTTGTTTGGGCTTTGGGGGGTAGAGAGAATAGGTGGCACTCAGCATCCTCCTGGGAGGAGGGCTAAAGGCACAGGGAGATGATGGCAAAAATCTGAAGTCTGAGCTTGGCCTTTGGAACAAGGTCGACTTCCAGTGTGGGACCTCCCTGCAGGTCTCTAAGGCATGTGTTTCTCTGTATTTATACCTGCTTGTCTATTTCTTCTGCAGGTGGGCACAGGCTTCAGTTTTACTGATGATACCCACGGATATGCAGTCAATGAGGACGACGTAGCACGGGATTTATACAGGTAACATGCTCCCGCTTTCTCTTGGCCTTCTTCAGACCAAACATTTTTCTATCTCAACAGGAAAATTATTCTAGCGTTGGAATTATTATTGACTGAGCCTTATAGTCCAATTCCTGAAGATAATTTAGGGATACTTTCACATCCACACACAGCAGAATTTTTCAATTAAAGATTATTTTTTAAAACTTTCAACCAGACATCTGAAAGGTTTCTGCTTGTTTTCCAAAATTGTATTTAACTTTGCATTCTGGGGAGACAACATCTTTTCAGATATTGTTTGTTTCCCAGGATTCTTCTTTTTGTGGCTTTTGGATGCAATTTTTTACTTTCTGCTTCTAGTTCATGACTTGTCCATGCTGAAAACTTAGCTTGTTAGTCTCTAGTATTCTCCCTTCTTCTTGTGAAAGTTTTCTTTTGCTTAAAAAAAAAAAAAAAAAGGAAAAATGTAAAGTTGTAAGTCTGGCCAAATAGTGTCCATATAATGTCTCCCTTTCTTTATTTACTCATATTAATCAGTGCTATTTTTAGCATTTTAAAAAAAGCAAGTGACCTTTCTTATTTGGTCAGATTTTTCCAGTCTACAAATTATTACTAGAGACCAAATCCTTTCTGGTCACTAGGGCGCCGCTTTATGCATTATAATAATTTACTAAATTATTATAATAATTTGCTAAAAGAACCCTAGTGGCCAGAAGGAGTTAACTAGCTCCCTACCCCACACCTCCACCAAGCACTCTGTTAATTACTACCAATCCCCAAAGCCAAAGCGCATCTAATAGGAGTCAGAGTTCGCTGATCTCTGACCAAAGCTTTCCATTTCACTTTTCTTTCTCTCTAAGGCAGATAGGTGGCTGGAGGGAGAGAAGAAAGAACTACTTCCAAGCCCCTTTCCCAAAGATCTCTCCCTCTGCCCACCTAGAAAAGAATATGGCTGTTGTCTTCTCCACTTTTGTTTTTCGCATGTTCCATGATTCAATCACTTCTACTCAGTGTCTAGGGGGATGCCCAGGACCCCACACTTCTGCTTCCATGTACAGTGGGGTCCTAGGGACATATTTGCCAAGTTCCTGGTGGGGTGTTCCCCCCAGCACCCCCTCCCCTTCCACAGACGTGACGGACGGCAGCCCTCCTCACAGGCTTCCTCAGAGCCAGGGCCAGGGCTCTCTTGGCACTGTGTGCTCTCTTTCTTCAGATTAGAGACCTACTCCCCACCCCCACCTCCCATCCCTCTTTGGTTTAAATCCAAACAAGCTCAGTGGTTAACTAGCAAACACCCTGAGGGCAGAGGTTCTGTATTGAAGAGCTGCATCGGCCCCCTCTAAGACAGAGCATCACTGCCAAGCCGTTTCTGTCTCTCCTTCCCCTCCCCCGAAGACTGTTACAGCTTCCAGTTGCCCTTCCATATGGGGATGTCGACTGCTGACATGTGGTCCATCTCCTCTTGCCTGACATGTAAAGGGAACCTATTTCAAAGCATCTATTGTTTATAGCTGTTGTAGTTCTTTTTGCTTCGGGCTCTTAGAACTGGAAAATAGCTAATCAAGGGTAGTGCAGAAAACTGATTTCAGCTGTTTCCTTTATAGTTTACACTATTCGTTTCCCTTTGTGGCCACATTCTTCTCTCCAGCTCTCCAGATGGGTGTTTGGAATAAGAAGGTCGCTTCGAAACCTGCAAACGGGCTACTACAGGTTTAAAGAGTGGAGCTTTCATTTTCTCCCTTTGAAAACCAACTTTCTTTTTTCTGAAAATCCCATTCTTTTTGACTATTAATAGTGCATGGCTGTAAGGAGACATTTACCATTCACAGTTTTGCTGCTTTTGTGTTTGGAAATAAAACTTTTTCACGAACAAGATGTTAAAATACTCTCCCTCTTTTCTTATTTGGAATGTGCTATTTAGTCACAATGCCTCTCTGGTTTAAAAAAAATGATGAAATTTATTAACTTTGATTTGGAGTACACTAGCTGGTACCACTCTTCTTCTGCCATTGTTTACCAATTGCCTATTATGTGCCAGCTGCTGTTCTTGGTGCTGGTGAGACAGTAGTAAGCAATCCCCAAAGCCCCTGCCCTCCTGGTGCTTAGTCTAGTGGTGGACCTATAGTTATTTTCTTAGCAGCCAAATGTAAGTGCTACTATAGTTTTCTCCTACATGTTGGTTTGCAATAGGAAATGATATGTAGTGTTGCTAAACAAAGCTTCATAGCAATGCAGCTAGGAAGCAGGCTTCCTATATTAAATGAGAAAACTCTGTGTCATGTGCCAGGTGGAGAGGATCATGGCTCAGCCTCGCTAGATGTTGAATGAATGCAAAAGAGGCTCCCCTCACCGGCTCCAACAGAGCAGCACTGCCAGGATTCCTGTTGCTGAGCTTGTGTCGGTCCAGTGCAGGGCAGGTGAGCCCCAAAGTGGGGCTTAGCCTGTGAGGAGTTTTGGCTTTGCCCGGAAAAGAACTCAAGGGTGGCCGGGTGTGGTGGTTCACACCTGTAATCCCAGCACTTTGGGAGGCCGAGGCAGGCAGATCACCTGAGGTCAGGAGTTCCAGACCAGCCTGACCAACATGGAGAAACCCTGTCTCTACTAAAAATAGAAAAATTACCTCTTCTTGGTGGTGCATGCCTGTAATCCCTGCTACTCAGGAGGCTGTGGCAGGAGAATCGCTTGAACCTGGGAGGCAGAGGTTGCGATGAACTGAGATCACACCATTGCACTCCAGCCTGGACAATAAGAGCGAAACTGTCTCAATTAAAAAAAAAAAAAAAAAAGGAGAATTCAAGGTGAGATGGAGGTAGAAGAAAACAGCTTTATTGAAGGGGCAGTGTTACAGCTCCATGTCTACTCCTGCAGGGCTACTGCCTAGTCAGAGTAGCAACTTAGGGCAATTTTGCAGTCATATTTAAACCCACTTTCAATTACATGCAGATTAAGGGTTGGTTCATGCAGAATTTTCTAGGGAATGGATAGTAGCTTTTGTGTCTTTGGGTGATTGCCATGGAAAGGGGTGGTAACGCTGGGTTGTTGCCATCACGATGGTAAACTGTCATGGCCCACTGATAGGCATGTCTTATGGAAAGCTGCTTCCACCCAGGCCCTGTCTTAGCTAGTCCTCAGTTTGATCCAGCATCCAAGCCCCACATCTGTATTTGAGTCCCATCTCCTACCTCACGTCCACTGCCAGTGACTGTAGGTACACTTTGCTTGGCTTTGGTTGGTATGGAGCTTTTGCTTAGATTACCTGAAACTCGATTATCCTGAATGTTGCTTGTGTTTATGATTATGCTTCTCAGTCCATTAGAACTGACCAGATTCCAGTGCTGTCTTTGGGTCTACAATGCATGATCATGTCCACTCACCTTTTCTGCCCTGCATCCACCTGATCTCTGTTTAAAAACTTATCTGAGGAATAATTTTCTTGTAGTCATTCTTCCTTGCAATCTCTGTTTCTCTTTTTGGTCCTTTAATGTACATTTTTGCGAGCAGAGAGCCCTCAACTAAAATTCTGTTTATTAGACAAGTCCTTGGCACAATGCCAGCAAGGTGGCCAAGTGGAATCACCAGGAAGAAGCATGCTTCTTGTGCCATGTAGCTCTTGTACCTGAATAAATGCATGGAGTGTGCACGTGTGAACACAACGCTTGTGTATTATTATTATTATTATTTTTGAGACTGACTCTCACTCTGTCACCAGACTGGAGTGCAGTGGCGTGATCTCGGCTCACTGCCACCTCTACCTCCCAGGCTCAAGCAATTCTGCCTCAGCCTCCTGAGTAGCCGGGACTACAGGCACCCACCACCACACCCAGATAATTTTTGTATTTTTAGTAGAGACGGGGTTTTACCACATTGGCCAGAATGGTCTCAATCTCTTGACCTCGTGATCCACCCGCCTCGGCCTCCCACAGCATGAGCCACCGCGCCTGGCGACTTACGTATTTTATATATATATATGTTTAGCAGTTCTGCTTCTAAAATTTGTAATTTCATTTGGGCTTGATGCTAGATTTTATTTTCTAGAAGATGCTCACCATGTAATAAGAAGAGTTCTTGACTAAAATACAGTTAAATGAGCAAATGGCATATGCAAATCTAATTTACTAAATTTACTTTTTTCATTCTTCACTCTCTTTTAAGAAAAGAGAGTGCTACCATGCTACCAAGTGCTTGCTTTAAAAAAAAATAGCCAATTTTTTGGCTGTGAAATCAAAGCTGTGAAATGAAACTTGATGATAATTTCCTCAAGTGGAGCCTTGCCTTGGAAACTTGAGCTGGAGAATCCTGCCATTTTCAAGATAGAAGTAACCTGGGAGATTATCTCCAAATAAGACTGTCAGATAAAACACAAAATGCCCAGTTAAATTTGAATTTCAGATAAACAACAAATAACATTTTAATGTGAGTATATTCCATGCAATATTTGGAACATACTTATACTAAGGCATTATTTGTTATTTATCTGAAATTCAAAATTAAACCGTGTCTTATGTTTTCATTTGCTAAATCCAGCAACCCAAATGACTCTCCAGCAAATACTACAAGGAAATAAGCTTTAAGCTAAAGCCAAAGACTTAATTGAGATTTACTATGCTAAGTTATCTATTGCCATTCCAACAAGCAGGAAGAGAGAAAAGGAAGTAGATTTTAGCCTGAAGGTTGGAGAGGGAAGGGTGGAGAATGAATGCCTATTTTTATCTGCGTTCTAAAGCCAGCTTATTGCCAGCACAAACATAGAAGCTATAAAATACAGCTTCTCAGATTTAGTTGCTATAAAGGCCACTATAAATAATGAATACAGAAATACAACAAAACTCTACAGTAGTGTTTCATGGTGAATTTTTATGCAGCCTTTGAAAATTAAATATAGCTAGGATCATAGTGATTGTAATGACCCAATTTTGCCTCTTTGTAACCCTTGAACTTCACCATCCTCCTGGGTTTTTAGAGCCTCCTTGCCTTTCATCTTCCCTGGATGGTTCATGGCTTTTAGTGTCTCAGCAGGAAGCTGGGTCAAAAACCTCCCCTAGCTTCGCAGGCACTGCAGTCTGGGTCAAAAAACTCATAGAGCTACTGAATTTCACAAGTTTTTGTTTTCCTTTTTTTTGAAATATTTTGTTCAAGTAAAGAATCATTTAAAAATCCACTGTCTTCTTGCTTACTATGAAATCACTCCTTGAGTCTGTTAAAATCTATTTCATCACTGAAGTGGCTATTGGCATTCTTTTGCTTTTTTTTTTTTTTTTTTTTTTTTTTTTGAGACAGGGTCTTACTCTGTTGCCTAGGCTGGAGTGCAGTGGTGCAATCTCAGCTCACTGCAACCTCAGCCTCCCGGGTTGAAGTGATTCTCCTGTCTCAGCCTCCCAAGTAGCTAGGACTACAGGTGCGCACCACCATGCCTGGCTAATTTTAGTAGAGATAGGGTTTCACTATGTTGGCTAGGCTGGTCTCGAACTCCTGACCTCGTTATCTGCCCGCCTCAGCCTCCCAAAGTGCTGGGATTACAGGCGTGAGCCACCGCCCCTGGCCAGCTGTTGGCATTCTTTAGTAAAGGTGTTTTTCTTTTTTTTAGCCCAGAGGCTACTGTACATTTATTTCAATATCTGTGGCCATTTGCTGTTTTTCTTTTAAATTATAGTCATCTTACAGTTTTTATGTTCTTTGGTTATTAAAATGCTGACATTCTTGGAGCTCCAGCAGAAATATTCAGAGTCCCCCACAGTGGGGATTGGTAAGCAACTAAGATTTCCCTCACTTCACCACAAATCTGGGCTAATGGGATCATAAAGTTTGCAGAACTACCTCCAAGAATTGCTACATAACATGTGAAACCTGTATTATTTGCTCAAGGTGCCCTCAACAGTTAGATGATCCAAACTGGTAACTCAGTGATTTGGAAACATGCCCAGAGTATTGATGGCCACTTGTCCAAACTTCTTCTTATCAAAGTAAGCCCACACGTATTGTGTAAATAAAATGTCCTACAGGAGCTCATAGCAGAGTGGTATCTTATTTCAAATGTGAAACCTATTACCAAAGGGTTAGATTTGATATCCTAGCATGAAGAGTTCCTGAATCATTTTTCTGATTAATTTGTATTGTTTTTTTTGTTCTTTTTGCAGTGCACTAATTCAGTTTTTCCAGATATTTCCCGAATATAAAGATAATGACTTTTATGTCACTGGGGAGGTAAGTAGAAGTCACGTTTCCTTGTGTGCTTCAAACATCACCAGAACTGACATATATTATGAGTGTAGTTTGTTCGTTTAAAATCTATATACATATATACATGTACACATACATATCAATATTGATTCAGCCTATATTCAGAATTCTCCCAATTATCAAAATACCCTTCATAACTTTTTTTTTTTTTTTTTGATTTGGAATTTCACTCTTGTTGCCCAGGGCTGGAGTGCAGTGGCGCGATCTCAGCTCACTGCAACCTCTGCCTCCCAGGTTCAAGCCATTCTCCTGCCTCAGCCTCTTAAGTAGCTGGGATTACAGGTACCTGCTACCACACCTGGCTAATTTTTGTATTTTTAGTAGAGATGGGGTTTCACCATGTTGGCCAGGCTGGTCTCCAACTCCTATTCAGGTCTCGTGATCTGCCTGCCTCGGCCTCCCAAAGTGCTGGGATTACAGGCATGAGCCACTGCATCTGGCCCTTTCATAACATATTTTAAATCCCAGGACTCAATGCATGCTCTCATATTACCATGGGTGCACTAGGTAGGCTCAGTCACCTACCTTGTTTGTTGTCCTCGTCATTCATGGTGATGATTTGAAGAGTCCAGGCCAGGTGCTTTGTAGAATGTACCATATTCTGAATTTGTCGGATTTTTTCCTTAGTGCTTAGGTTATGTCAAAACATTTGAGCACGAATATTACATAGATGGTGTGTACTTTCTGGTGCCTCACATCAGGAGGCACATGAAGTCAGTTTGTCCCACTGTTGATGATGCTAAACTGGATCCCTCTGTCAAGGTGGTGTCTGCCAGATCTTGCCATTATAAAGGCACCTGTTTCTGTTTGTAATTAATTAATAATTCAAGACCATTTGAACACTGTTCCCTCAAAAAATGCCACCCAGTAGTTTTAGCATCCATTGATGATCTCTGTCTGAATCAGTTATTACACTGGGGGTGATAAAATGGTGAGTTTTCTAATGTATCTTTCTGTGGATATCACCTGGCATTCTTCCATAGGGAAAATTTTTCCCTTTTCCTCTTATTACTTACTTTTAAAAATAGTACTGTGGATTCACAGACTGTTATTTCTATTTGATCTGTTAAAATTTGTTTTGTTTTTGATGCTTACATTGTTTTAAATTTGGTCACTGGAAACCCCTCAACTGGCTCCTGTGCCCTTTTTACAGGTCCCCCTTAGCCTCCAAGCATGTCCTTGCTTTTTGACACAAATGTATGTTCCAGAAGCATCTTGTACTTCTTGTACTTTCCGTGTCCTAGCCTTGGAATCAGTCAGTTCTTCATGGAATGCTGGTTCTTTTTCATGGGGAATGGCATTTAAAAAGCAAGTGCTAAGCACTAAGTGGCCCATTGCTGCTGGGATGTGTCTGTGGGCAGAGCTAGGAAACAAAATGACTTCATACTAATACCCATAATTCTGATTCCGTACCACAAGGTTCTCTTCTCTTTTCTCTGTTCCATATTTGTTTACCCCTTCTCCCACATTGAGGGCTGTGGTTCCTAATGACATCAGTGTGTTTCCTCTTTTGCTTGCTTCTACAATATGCCCAAAATGGTTTCAGAATTACTACATGAGTACCATTACCAACAAGAAACATCAAAATTACTTTTAATAGTTTTGCTGCAATTATTTTTATCCTTAAATTGTATCTCACTACACACTTACAATCAAAGTACTGTGTTTAAAAGTTAAAAGAATTCTATCTTTTTAAGGGTGATTCTGTTAAAATTTAATACACAGTTACATTCATTTGTCTATGTTGGTTTCAATTTTAGGGTTTGCTTTTTTCATCCTTTTTAAGATTATTTTAAAAATAGGTACCAGCCAATCATTTAAGAACATAGGTGCAGTTCTAGGTGCTAGGAATATAATGGTGAATAACACTGAAAAACTACAGAAAAAATCCCTGCCCTACATTCTAGAGAGGTAGACAGTGATAACTAAAATATGTGCTAGGTACTGTACCATCAGGCAGTGACAAGCATCATGAAAGAGATGCAGTAGGGCAAGGGCCGGAGAGTGAAGGAGGTGCTATTTTAGATAAGATTGTCTGGGCAAGGCTCTTTGACAAGGAGATAATGAGCAGAACTCTGAATGATGTGGTGGGGTAATTTCTGCAGTATCTGTATGAAGAGCTTTCCTGGCAGAAGAAACAATGAATGCAAAGACTCTCCAGTGGGGACAGGCTTGGCAGGTTCAAGGAAAAGCACAGAGCTGCCGTGGTGGGAACTGAGCAGAAAGAGGCCAGTGGATCCTGCAGGGCCCGGCTGCCTGTGGCAAAGAGTTTGGACTTTATTCTAAGAGTAATGGGAAACCATTGAGGGTCCAGTGTTCACTGAAAGAACATTTAGAATCGAATTCAACTGAGCACAGATATATTGAGTATCTGCCATGTTTGAGGCACTGGACAAATATTAGGAATTCAGTGATTTATCAGACGTTGACTCTGCCCTAAATCTGAAGGTCTAATAATTACAATACAGATGAAAGGCACAATTAGAGAAATATTATCTCTGATCCATGAATCTTGAAAAAAGAAAAAAAAGTTAAGAAAAAAAATTAGAGAAGTAACTGTAAAGACTAATAGCCACAGGAAGGGTACCAATAGCTACCTCAGAATGGGATCCTCAGGAAAGGCCAAGCAGAGGAGATGGCAGTGAAACCAATTTCTGAAGGATAAATAAGGGTATGTTAGTTAAGGCTTTTTTGGTTGCAAGTGACAGAAACCCTATTTAAAGGAGCTTTAGTGAAACAGGACATTGATTGATTTAATGTCAGGTGTGGCTGGATCTGGTTTCCTGAGATTCCTGAACCTCAGATGATCCACTTGGATCTCATGCCTATCGTAGAACTACCAGCTGGACCCAGGTGGTTGGAATATACAGATTGGCCAGAATGGTGCCTGAGGCCCACTCCACACCCTGGAAGGGTAGGGACCAGGATGGGGGCCCTCATACTCTGAACCATAAGGCCTGAGAGTAGGAGATGAGTGGTCTCCAGAGGAAGATCCAAGTGATGATGCCAGAGGAAGGGCTGTAAAGATGCTGGCAAGCATGTCTGCGATGTACACTTTCAGGGAGGGAAAGAGGAAAATGGTCTGAGTTTTTCCAAGGGAATGGCAAGTAACTGGAGCTAGCAACTTCTTCTCTCTTTTTTTTTCTTTATAAGCTATTTGGAAGGGATATTCTGACTGTTTGGCATACTACACTTTAGGTTTTTTAAGCCAGTTATGCAGTCAGGATGACTTAGAACCTCTGCTGGTAATTTCTGGCTGTTCCTTGTCTTTTAACGAATTTCAGAGCCAGGTTAGGAAAGTGAATAGGAAGTGACACTCCCCATTATTTGGCAAAATATTTGGAAAATGCCCATTCTCCACCTCCTACAGAAGAGTGATCTACTTCGTGTGTAATGCCTTGTCTTGCAAATAATGTGGTGATGTCGTTAACCATGATGCTGATGTTGATACCAACCATGATGTTTGGCAAAGCTGCCAAATCCCAGATGAAAAATTTGACTTGGTTATTTCACATCTGCCTTGTGGTTTTATGCCTATAATTTCCTAATGTGTATAAAAGAGGACACTTTTCTTTTTACCTTCCTTGCTGCCAGGATGAATACTTTTAGGGAAACCTGTGCCTTCTGAGTGATGAAGGAAGATGTGAGGTAGAGATGCCGTTGTCAGGAGTTCTTCCCTGAACTACATGGGATACGTTCAGTCTGGGGGCACTGCTCTTTCTAGAAGAAAAAAACACTAAATAATGATGCCTTGATGGTTTATCATGACTATTAGAATGCTGTGTTTCTCCAGTCTCGTTGGTCCCATCTGGGTTGTCTTCTGTTTTAAGGCCATGTGGCAGAAAAGAGAAGTGGAAGGCATTCTGGATTAATCATTAGGAGCCCTGGGACTCAGGGCTGGCTTTGCTCCTCCCTGGATGATTTCAGGAAAGTCTTTCAGCCTCCCTGGGCCTCTGCTTTTCATCTAACAATCAGAGGAGTTGTTCAATTAGATCACTTACAGGGAGATTTTGCTTTACTAGAAGTTCAAATGCAGTTATTTAGACTTACTCTTTAAGCATCTGTGTGTAATTGCAGTTTTAACGTAGTACCTACCCATTTTCCCTCTCGCTGCTGCCACCACCACCAAAAAAAAAAAAAATTCTTCTAGATTTTTCAAGAACGAAAATTCCTTTCTCTTCTAAACTCTTAATTTTCTCACACTCTCAGGAAAGCTGAATAGTGCTGCTCAGTTTGCAGAGCCATCTTCAAAAAATAAATGCACAAATTCAGAATGGTTTTCTGCTTTTCAATGTAAATGCACCACACCTAAATATCTTCACATTTGTGTGCTATGAATGAGAGGAACCTGATGCTCAAGGGGTCTGGAGCAGCTGTTCAGAACCTTGATTTGATGTAAAGGAGTCTGGAAATAATAATAGTACCTACTGCATAGGGTTGTTTTGAGTATTTAATTAGATAATCCTCCTCAGATATTAGCCTAGTGACTGTGGTGAGTACCCAACACGTGATGACTACTATTACCATTCATGTTGAAAAGCTGGGTTAATATATTATGACTCCCAAGCACACAGCCTAATGCCTGTAGACAAGAGCTGAAGTGTTAATAGAAGCTCCGCTAACTCGTTGCTGGGATATGGCATTGTCCCCTCTACTCTATGTCTATGATTTTGAATCATTTTTAAAAGCAATAGTTACTTTGTCTAAAAAAAAATGGAGCTTAGCAGTTGACATTAGAAGTTGTGCTTGTTTTTTATATGGGCAGCAGCAAAATGTGTCAGGACCCACCCCAGTCTTCCTGCCTCGCCATGTGGATGATGGTGTGGCTACACCAGAGAAAGTGGCGTGGGCCTGCCCTCAGCGCAAAGGAGAGAGGAGAAGCTGCTTTGTCTTCTTCCTTCTCTTCATTTCTGCCCAGAACACCAACTGGAATTAATTTTCCCTAAAAAGAGACAAATGTGTCT